TGAAAAAACAATTTCCTATCCAATTCACCGTACTGACGTCGACATTACCAAGAGGAATGCCAAGTCAATCTCATCACTTTGGAGAGCGATCATTTTGTACTTTCTTGGACCTTAACTAGACTTTTAAGTGACAAGTTCTTTGATATGTCTGGTGTCGAATGGGCAGATCTTAAACACAATAAAGAATTGGTTCATGATTTTTTCAACAATGGTGAACTTATTTCTGAACAAATTGATGAATGTTTAGCTAAAGATGACCTATCTTGAAGGTGAAGAAATTGTAAGGGCTACCGCGTCTAAAAATCAAAATTTCCTTTTATTGGTCTTACGTTTCTTCGTCGTCGAATTCTTTCAACAAAATATTGTTTGACATGTCACTTTCCTCATATGGAGTCTGTGTCATCTATTAGACCTTTTATTTGTGGAACCGCGTTATGTCAGCATCAAGCACTACAATTTTTTTTAAATTAAAGAGTAACACAATGCATGATTAGTAATACTTTATATGTTGATAGAACTTCTCGTGGGAAAATTAGATGAACAGTGACTTTCACTCTATCAACGATATGAAATCGTATAGTATGCCCGCTGTTATAAAAGTACTTCAAAAATAAAGATATCACAACACTTGTTCAAGACAGGGAAATTGAATGGATGATAGAAAGGCAACCTTATGTAACTAGTGCTACAATAAAAAAAAAACGGAAGAATGGCATTAATATTAGCGAGAGCACCATTAGCGCCGCCTTGTTGATGCTGGAGCAAGGTTTATGAATGGAATAGTTAAACCACTCCTGGACGAAAAACAGAGGGTAAAACGTTTAGATTGGGCAATAAAGCACAAAAAATATAAGTGGGATAAAGTAATTTTTACGGATGAGAGTATTTTTTAAACTATTTCAATCAAAAAAAAAAAAAAAACTTGGCGTAAAGCTACGTGAATAGAATAGAATTTATTTAATTGATCAGTATAGTAGATTCACAATTCCTGATACATCATTACAGCTGGGAAATATATCTGTTATCATTCATGTTTAAGGTTTTATTCATTATCATTATTGTTTAGTATTAACTCTACTCGTCTATTTCTTTATTAAATAATGACTACTATAATCACCACTTGTTAGGGTGTGCAATGCTATAATACAAAATAGATAGTTAGGGTAATGTGTCGATCATCATTTGTGGATTTCACTTATGGAATCCGTGAATAATTTTTAGGTATCATTCTAATAGTAAAGTGAAATTTTTAGGTATATTTTTTAGCAAACTGACTTTATTAATATAAACAATACAAAAGCTAAATTGTATATATTTTAAAAATATGTAATTTTTTGATATATCAATAATTATAAATAAAATTTAAATTAGCAATTTTAAAAAGAAAATAGCTTTATTAGATTAAAGAGAGTGCCTTTATTTACATGTTTAAAAAAAAAAAAACTCTATAATTAATATCATTTTTTTAAAAAATATACCTTTGTAAATAAATATAAAATTTGAATAATTAATATTTAACTTAGATCAGTAATTAATATTTAACTCTAACTCAGATCAGTATAAAAAAATTTATATAGATATTAAAAAATCTGTAAATAGTGATTAATATATATTACTCTAACTATATATTTATATATATTATAGTATAGCACACTCTAACACTCATGCTATATTTTTTCTAATAATTAGACATACTATTGAGTATTTTACAAACACTAAAAGTTTTATCAAAAGATGTTACAAACAGATAAAGCTTTATCATACTGTAACAGAGTGGTATTTTTGTGTATAACATCGCGGTAGTCATGTGATCCCGTGTACTACATACGGCCACTACTAAGTTATTTTTCTTAGTATAGATTTTTCTTTATTTATTTATTTAGGTATTTGCTATTTATTATTTTTGTTATACATAAATTCGTTATACATAATTTGTTACGCATATGATCATTACACATAAATCATTATGCATAAAATTGTTTTGCATAACAGGGCCAGTAAACAGTTTAAAGATTTATTTAGATTAGTAGTTATTTATAGAAGAATTATAAAAGAGATGTAAATTGGTCTCTTAAAGAGACATGATCCACTATTATGTTCTAAAAACTATCTAAATAAAAGCCTCTTTGTCTTGAATCTCTTCTAACAAAGACCTAACCCAACCCAAAACTGTATATATACAGGACCCAGGTTGCCTACTTGAAGAAATTCACCTCGAAGATGGCTATGTTCTATAATCTAAACTAGTTCATGTCCTACCTGTTCCCCTATTCACGCCCAAATTCCTCTGTTCATGTTTCTATATGTTCACTTAAACAACGCTATGTCTCATACGTGTACCTAATATCTGGCCCAAACAGAACGTTAGTAGTAATGATATGACCCAGTTAGACAATAATCGGGTAACCGAACCGAACCGAAAAAATCGAGTGACCCGGTTAAGCAAAAGCTTAACCGGTTAACCCGGTTATTCAGTTGATCTGATATAATCGGTTGACCCGGCTGACCCGATATAATCGGTTGACCCGGCTGACCCGATATAATCGGTTGGAAACACAAATATCGCATAAAAAATGTAA